CCTCTGTACAAGCTTCTTCCTTTTCTGGGTCACTGGTGCCCATATCCCAGTGTGAGGGGCGGGGTACACCCTGGACAGGTCGCAAGTCCATCGCATAAAACACGTTAAAATATACAATTTATTGTAACAAAGCTGGAAAAATAAATATGAAGGTCAATTAAATTATAAAACTTGAGGTAAAGTTACTTTGTTTATTTGGTGCTTTTTAAAAGTATTTATTTAGTGGTTCATTTATGTTTCTGCGTTTAATTTTAATTATGTCAGTTTTGGTCCTCCGTACAGCAGAACTTGGAAGAGGGAGTTCAGTGACTGAATCAGGTGTGTTGGAGCAGGAAAAAATGTAAAACATGTAGGACTGCGGCCCTCCAGGACCAGGATGGTCCACCCCTGCTCTAAACCATGTCAGAGTGTGGTTCTAGGCCCATACGTAGTCGACGGTGAGCTCCTGCTCTGGCTGCAGCAGCAGGACGCTCTGGTCSATGGCTCTGATGGAGCACAGGGACTTGGGCTGAGCCTTCAGGGTCAGGGTGACTCTCTCTGCTGGGAGCGTCTGGGCAGAGGAAAAGTTCAGGGACACCTGCACAGAAGACAGGAGGACAGRTGGATCAGATGAACCTTAATGTTGGGCTTCCCTCTGAAACCTTATTTTCAGCTTTCCTACCTTGTTCTTAAGGCAGAGCTGAACAGGGATGTCCTGGCTGTCAGCCAGCATCTCTCCACCTGGCATCACAGCATAAACCACCACCTGAGCGTACGGCGCCAGCTRCATCACTTCATGCAGAGTTACTCTGAACCGGCCTTTGTTCACTGGGAAAAACAGGACAATCAGTCAAGAAAATGGAACATAGGTCAAATAAAAGTTAGAGAACATTCACCTGTGTTTATAAAAACCAAATATCAGCAAGAACTTTGCAATAAAAACAAATAACTCACAAATTCTGCATTTCTGTTTGCTCAATAACTCATCTTTCTGTAAACATTTAAGCAGACAGCTCCTGTGTTTGTCTGCTAAATAAGACCAGTAATATTTTAAATGTTTTTTAAAGAGCCTCATTAATTTTTGAAGTGACATTCTGTCTAATAGTTTGAGATTCATCTGCATCCAGGCTAGGCTAATGAGGACTAGCTAGGCCAGGCATGGGCGATCCTGGTCCTGGAGGGCTGCAGCCCT